TAATAATTTGCTTTTATATTCAATAGGTTGAATATCTGCAGGCGACCTTCTTAATATTTGCTAGATTGACTTACTATATAAAATGTATGACACTTTACAATATTGGTCAATAGATACATACGTTTGAACAATTATATGTGAACAATATTGACCTGGCCAAGGTCTATATAGAGATTTGTCAATACACTCTGAGAATCGACAAATCTGTACATCGACTGAGGTTGGGTCAATATTTTTAGTTATACCAAATAAAACAAACATTTTCTAAAAGGCTGAATTGCAAGATCTACTCTGCCAAAGTTTTCAATTACAACATCCAAGTTCTTTATTCACAAGCAGCTGCTTCATCACACTTCCGATGCTTCGCATAAACCCTTCCTAAATTACCGTAACATTGAAGATTGTAGATATTAACAGAAGCCGCGATGTTTTTACATACTGCACTAGGGGTCAATCGGACGTAAATAAAACGCAATATAACAACACATTTCCGGTTAAACTATCAATTCATTGAAACCTGTATGAACGTATTCGTACGTACGTTCGAACAAAAGTACAAATTGTAAATCTACTATGCCTGTCATTTCGAAGCAGTCTGCGCAACAATGTATTGCTGGTCAATGGTTTGAAAGCGCCATCTCCCTGTAGAAATAGTTTGCTTGTGCAGACGATGTTCAATTTCAAATTTTAATATCATGCGTATTTATTTGAATAATTATCAGTAGCACATTCATTTAACACGTAGAGGTAAATCAACTATAGGCATATCTTAGAATATATAGGTAACTTACCATGGATCCTGCTTCTGAACTCGTAGGTTAAACCGCTACTCGTGGCAGGAGCATCACCAATTTTTATATCAGGCCTCTTTATAGTTGCTAAGCCTTCATCAACCCAGTCAAAGCAAGATATTTCGAATTTGTCCTCTACGTAACCTGTAACACAAATACAATACAGGTATGTCTAAGTATCTATTCATATCAGTCTATTCTTACCAATGTTTTTCCTGGCCTAAAAACAAGTGTTTCAATCCACATGTTTCAAAGTATTGCTTGCGAGATCGGAAGACTGTAGTAAGCTACAACACATTGTTACACCGTATCAGTTAAACCCATGTTCTGACTATATAATGGATCTAGAACAAAGGCGTTCATAATGCCTCTTTCAGCGTAATGTCGACTTCTCTGATGAGAGATCCAGTAA